TGTGTGTGTATTTCACCTTTCTTTTCCCTTTATATCGCAGTGAGTCAATCTAGACATTTTCTACTGTCTCTCTTCTTGTAATTCATTCATGGAGTTAAGACCTGCCATAAAACTATCTATGAATGACTAAATTCAGAGTAATTTTAGCTCTTTGATTTCCTCCCCTTCCCCTCCTCTCTCTCTCTCTCTCTCTCTCTCTCTCTCTCTCTCTCTCTCTGCTAAATATGATTCAGTTTTGGACATTCCTTCTATGCCTGACATTTTGTGTGGGTGTGATGTGTAATATTAGTTGCTGATTTTCTCAGACTATTAATATATTTTTAGACTTTGGAGAAAAAGATGAAATGACAATATGTACTCTTTTTCTTCTTCCTGAGACACTTCACAAGCTGGCATGCAGAGATTCTGGGACTAATGTTAGAGATCACTTTACCCCTGGTGGCATAGTAGGTTATCAACTCTTTAAGGCTGTCCAAATAACAAGTAAATTCCAATGATAATGGACTGAAAGCATCCCAAATGTGCTGGTTAGTTTTTGTCAACTTGACACTAACCACAGTCACCTAGAAGGAGAGAACATCAACTGAGCAAATGCCTATGTCATACTCACCTATAGGCATATCTGTGTGACATTTTCTTGACAGATGTCTGATATGAGGCTGTCTTAGTTAGAGTTTTACTGCTGTGAACAGATACCATGACCAAGGCAACTCTTATAAGGACAACATTTAACTGGGGCTGGCTTACAGGTTCAGTGGTTTAGTTCATTATCATCATGGTGGGTGCATGGCAGCATCCAGCCAGATATGGGGCTAGAGGAGCTGAGAATTCATCCAAAGGCTAACAGGAGAAGATTGTCTCTCACATGGAACCAAGGAGGAGGGTCTCATTGCTCACGCCACAGTGACACACTTTCTCCAACAAGGCCATACCTACTCCAACAACGCCACACCTCCTAATGGGCCATTCCCTGGGCCAAGCATATTCAAACCACCACAGGGGCAGACCGCTGAGGGTAGTTCCACCTTAGGCCAGGTAGTCCTAGATTACATAAGAAAGCTAGCCAAACAAGCCATGAAAGTGAGCCAGGAAACAGCAATGCCTTATGGTCTTTACTTCAGTTCCTGCCTCCAAGGTCCAGTTTGAGTTCCTGCCCTGACTCCACTGGGTGATACACTGTGAGGTTGCTCTGGGTCATGGTGCTCATCACAGAATGAGATACCAAGCCAGAGTGCCAAGCAAACCATTAAGAGTCTGTCTGTCTCAGCCCACCATGTTTCAGTCTCATCATATGATGGCAATGGTCCTGTTTCCTCCAGCCTCTCATCCCTTGTCAACCTCTCTCTTGTTTCAATACAAGTCTTCTTGTCATTTATCCTCCTTCTCTATGAACTTTTAGATTGCAACACCAACCACAAGATTGCATTTGGCTGCTCAAAGTATTTTCCCTATGTACTTTCCCTAGTGTTCCTCCTTGGCAAAGGCAGGATTGAGATCAAGTGAGTTATTCCTGATGCCGCCATAACCAGCAGCAGAGAGGGAGGAAATCTCAAGGGCAGACACCAGTTTCCTAAATGATGGAGGTTCTCTTTGGTTTATGTGGAGAAAAAAATAATAATAATCAAGCTGGGAGTGTATCTCATTTTGATAGAGTGTTTGCCTCTACCAACTACATAAAGCCTTGGGTGTGATTCCCAGCACTGCAAAAATCAAGCACGATAATGTATACCTATAAGCCCGGTAAGCACTTAGGAGGTGGAGGCAGGAGGATTAGCAATAGGAGTCTGAGTTATATGAGACAGAGGAGTAGGGGATGACCCCTGGCTGTTCATTCTGTTGGGTCCTTTCTACCCAGTGTAGTCAGGGCACAGGCATTTGGTGCCTTTGTACTGAGCTACTGTGGTACACTGAAGTCCACTCAGTGCTACTAAAGGCTGGTGCAAATGATGCCACACAGATACAACATGGGCTTTGTAAATGCCAAGGGGACAAGTAACCCCTTTTCCATGGGGTTTTCATCCTTAGGGCTAGCTGCAAATAGGCAGTCTTCAACTGTGGGAGCCTGACTCCTATCACCCCAAGGGGTGACATGACATTCCACTCCAGGCTGTTGGTGGAGCTGGGACAAACTGCACTTGTTTCAGTGAAATATAGCAACTCAGAGGAACAAATAACCCCTTTACAAATTCTAAGGATCTGCCAATTTGAGCCCTTTGTGTTGAACCCCAGGGCTAAGGGGATCTCCCACTTTAACTACTATTTAGGAACAATATATACATTCAGCAACGTATATATGTCAGGAAGAGATAACAGGGGCTTATGGAAAACACTGATCCAAACAAAGTCTCTGGATACTAATTATATCTAAGATCGATAAGGTTACCCTAAAAATGAGACCCTGAGGCACTCCATCAGAACACTCAGGATGTTCTAAGAATGGAAAAGGAAAACCAGTTCATCTATCTACTGAGCAACAAGAATAAACACTGCCATGCCATTCATTTTAATCTCTGTAGCCCCTTTGTGGAAAGGGCAGAATTTTTAACATTTTTTCTGACTCTGTTGTGTCTCATATTTTTGAGTGCCTGGGACACTCATAAAAGAAGAGAGAAAGATTTCCCAGAGGAAAGCCTGCTGTCAGCTCTTAAACTGGGCCATGAACTGACCCCACTGTCACGTTATCCATCTTCAGTGTCAAGACTCTGTTGCAAGATCTCTGCAAGCCAAATTCCATTACCCACCCACTGCAACCACAGCCAACAGCTCCATCTGCATAAAAGTTGTGAATATCATAACCAAGGGAGCCTGGGCACTGGTGCATAATCTGAGGCATCGGAATTCTATAGAGGAAAGCTGTCCTGATAATTTAAGAGTCTCTAGAAGAAAGAGTTGGTGCTAGAGCAACTACTGTATAACTCATGGCTCTAGCACCACCTGCTTGACACTGGACATAAGTCAACAGGCTCCTGACTTGGAAAATGCAAAATCTTCAAGATGTGTCTAGACCTTTGCCCTGCACAAAAACAGTACCAGTCAAGAGAGTCTTCCATAGACAAAATAATGAAACTGGGTCACCTACCTTACTTGATATACAAAAGTGAACTCAAGAGTCCAAACACTTAAACTAGACAGTTGAAATGGTTAAAACCCTTTAAAAAGAGCACAGCTGTGAGCCTTTGGATTTTGGATTAAGCAATGCTTTCTTAGTAACCACAAGCATGAGCAAGGAAAAAAAAAAAAACAGAAGTGGGAGAATTGTAAGTTCAATTTCACTCTCAGCTCTCTACCAAGTTTGAGGAAACATCCAAAAGTATGTGAAGCCCCAGG